GGCTGGGCCCTGACTGAGCTCCCAGGCAGCCTTCTTATAGTCCTAGTCCCGCCCTTTGACTTCCGGTCAGGTGAGGGGGCGGGGCTAGGCTGGGCCCAAAATGGCTACCAGAGGGGTTCCTCCGGCTCAGTGGGTGGCCATTCCACCCCACTACAGGGACACACATCTCGAAGAACCGTCATTACTGCACCAAGGTAAGTAACTTCCTCTTCTTCTTCGAGTGGTGTCCCCGTGGGTGCTCCATTATAGGTGACTTCGTAGTAGCGGCCCCAAATAAGGAAGGTGGGATTCCGAGTTAAGGTTTCGCCACTGTGGACAGCACTGCAGAGGCAACTGCTGAGTCACTAATGAAATTGTTGGGGATAGCATAATGTTTTTCAAAGGTGTAATTAGGACCACGTGGCAGCTCGACAGATGTCACGTAGAGAACTCCCTTGAGAAAGGCTACAGAAGCTGCTACTGCCCTGGTAGAATGGGCTCTTGGTGTCTCTGGCAACAACCTGTTCAGCAATGAGGAGCAACGCACTATGCACGAAACGATGAGTTTGAAGATGCGTTGTGTAGAGAGAGACTCACCTTTAGAACGATCAGCCAACGAAATCAACAGTCGTTGAGGTTTCCAGAAAGGTCGTGTTCTGTCGATGTAAAATGTCAGCGCCCTACATACATCTAATGTGTGAAGCCATGTGTCTTGGTAGGAGTGTGGCTTGGGGTAGAAGGTTGGGAGGATGATAGGCTCGTTGATGTGAAAATCCAAGTTTATTTCTGATAGGAAGGATGGTTGAGAGCGGAGTATAACCGCCTGACTTGTAAATACCGTATAGAGAAGAGTAGCAAAGAAAGTGGCGAGTTCCCCTACCCTGCATGCAGATGTTATTGCTAACAACAAGGCAACCTTGGTGATTAATAACGGCAGAGGGCAGGTCGCCAAGGGCTCAAAAGGTGGTCATGTTAGGGCATCCAAGACAAGTTCTAAATTCCATGGTTGAGACAGCTCTCCATGTGGTAGGTAGAGATTTGTCACCCCTTTCATGAACCTCCTACTGATTGGGTGAGCGAACATCGAAGAGTCCTCCACTGGGTGTCGGAAGGCAGTGATCGCAGCAACTTGAACCACCTTAAGAGATGACAGTGCTAGGCTGGAATGTTTTAAATGCAGGATGTAGTCAAAAATGCAATGGATGGGGGCAGAGGTCAGATCTCGACTATTGCACCAGGAATGAAACCTACGCCACTTGTGCAGGTTAAGTAGTCTGAGTGGTGGATC